ATTTTCAAGGTTCATCTCTTTATGCCTTAAGGAGTAGGCAGTGTTATCATCAAGGGTCTTCTCCTTTGCTAGTTCTCTGTTTCTCTTTGTTTTGTTTACTGATATTTCACAGCAAACCCTTGCTGTTATCATCAAGTGCTCAGGCCACGATAACAAAAGTTTGCCAAAGCCTATACCCTTATGTTTCTCTCTTTTAAAAGCAATAAAAGATTTGTTTAACTGAATACAGCTGACATTTCTTTTATCCCATCAATCCATTATACCCTTATAAATTCAGGTCAAAAATAAAAAGTAACTCCAGATTTCATTATATTAGATAGATGGTTTAGATAGATAGCTTTTCTAACCCCTGTCCCATATTATCTCAGATACTGTTACCATTTTCCCTTTAAATAGATCATTCTTCTTTATGTTTTTAAAAATGTTATTCGTATTTGTGTTTTGCAACCATCTGCCTTGCAACAGTGCTGTGAATGCTTGTGTTTTTATTTCACCCAGGCAAAAGAGTGAAGGTAAGAGGAAAAGGAGAAGTGGAAGGAATGTTGAAAATTCAGCCGAGGCGTTACCCAAGGTTCTATAGTATAATGTAGAGAACCATGCATACTCCTTGTTGCGATGATTTTGGGAGGAATACAGGATTTTGTATGCTGTATTGAATTATGACACTGCACCCACCATATGAGCCATTTTTAGCATTATTATTATTTTTTAAAGTTCACATATGCCAGAATTTACACCCTGCAATGATTAAAGCTCTACCTAGCACACAAAATATTAATTTTCAAGGCTGCTGGAGTCTGCAGAATACCAATGACTCCATTAAAAATGTGCATCTTTGGAAACGGGACAAACAAAGAGAAAAACCTTTTATGAGAACATGGGATTTTATGTTTTCTGAGGCTGAGTTATTTTTGTTTATTGTTGGGATAATGGTTAGTTACAATCTACTCACTATTTTTCAGTCGAGTGCACACAGTAGTGCTGCTTAATTTATCACTTTCCTCTGTTCCTAGCTGTTTGATATCCCTCTTTAACAATTAGTATTTGGGAAACTGGAATAGCATACAGCAGCGAAAGGTAGCTGGCAAAGCTGAAGAGGAACACAGTATCGGTGACTACCAGGTCTCTCTCCAGACCATTACAGTGGGATTTCAGCATGCACTCACACCTCGCTGCCCTTGCAGTTTGTATGGTGTGTGTGGAATGGATAAGCAAGATGTGTAAGAAAGGTTGCATTCACATGCATAGCCCTAATTTTTGTCAGCCATTAGTTCTTGTTTAGAATTGAAGATCAGTTTGGGTGGGTATTTTTTTTTCTTTATTGGACCTGTGTTGTCCAAAATCTATAGCTTTCAATTTTGTGGAATCAGACCCATATTAAAATAAATGGGAAGTTGCAGTGGCAGCACCTACAACACGCAGAGTGTAGCTTACCGGCTTGATGAGAGGCACAAGGGTGTTAGTGGGAAGTGCCTGTGCACCACACTCTTTTTAGCTACTGCCTGAGGCATCTGCTTTCTTTTGGCCAGTGTCTAGAAGGGAAGATAAGTGAGATGGACCTTTCCACCCACTCTAGCTGTTCCTGGCCTTTTTTTTTTTTTTACTTTAGATATCTGCATAGATTTCTGTATGATAAATGAACACCTTAGAGATGCCTTTTCTATCTACTAATTCTAAGGAGAGTCTCCATGTCTACATTAGATCAGAGAAATTCAAGGAACACTAACAATTTTTTTTGTGAGAGATGAGAGTTTGTTTTTCAGCAGATGGCAGTTCCTTTTGAGAAAGAAGCAGCATATTTTTATGCTGCAGATTTTCTTCAAGATTCAGGAAAACAGTGCTCTGGCAAGTATCCTTCACCCAACCTATCCTTCTCTCCGAAGTCTGGACTTCTGTGAAATGCTACCCTGATTTTTAACTTGTGAGCAGGAAGCCTTGCAGGAAAGGATTGAGCGTTTTTTTTTCCCTAAGCAGACTTCCCAGCGTACCCCTGTGTCTGCCAGTGGAGTACAGGGCAGGAATGGTGTCTTCCTTGGAGGCTCCTCTCCAACACTGGCTGTACTCAGAGATATGCTCAGCTTCCCCCTGTAATCCCATGATATTTCTCTATTTTACAATCCTATCATCAAGGTCATATTTAAGTCTGAGCAGTGTCATGTGAAAACTCAGCATACCACACTGTTCGTGATTCCTATGTTCATTAATTTACAACTAGACAGGTAGCTTTGTGTCTTTTATATAATTAGCACTGTGAAGGTTATCGAGAACAATATTAATGACCGTTAAATACCCCTTTTCATGGCAAAAGTTAGTTATTAAGAAGTTAATCAAGAAACTAATCAAAGAATATAATAGAATTTGTAATCGAATCTCAATAAAGTTCTGATTCCAAGTCCTGGTCTAACAAGATTTATTTAGATATAGACAAGTAAGCTAGATTTGAAGTCTCGTGTTTTGGGTGCTGATTGCCCCCTGGCGTAAGAGCAGCCTCCAAAAAATAAGTCTGAACTGTAATGAACAGAAAGTATGTTTCCAGTGCAGGCTGACAAACCTGGTTTTGCAAACAGTGGGCTAGCACCAACTTTTCTTCTGTCAGCTTGAAGAGGCCAAGGTTAAATTTTAATTGCTTGCCTGAAGTCCAAGTCTCATGGCTGTCACTGCTGTTCTGTCTCCAATTACTCAACTGGTATTAGCCAAACTGAATGAAGACTATGCCTTTTTTGCAGTGTATGCATAACCTTACGTTGATGCTAAACCAGAAATAGCGAAGACCCAAGAACACTTTATCTCACCTTCATTCCCTGAGGCCAATTCCTTATTCTGGTTGCTCAGGCATATGCTGGTAGTTGCTAAGCTTTCTCTGTAAGACTGGGAGCTGCTGCTTAGTTTCCTGTAACAATTTTCCTGGCTTGGTTATGCTGACTATATCTGCAGAGAATTGCTGCTACTAAAATTTCTACAACTATCTTTCTTTCTGTAGTGATATGAGGCTTTCATGCCTCTATTAGTTTTTGCAGTTAATTAATCTGTCTTTCTGATACTTACCGTGGTAAGGATAGAAAAGCAATAAACAGTGCGGATAAAGGATGAAATGGTTTAATCTCATTAATTAACAAAATACAGAGTATCCAGGTACAAATATTACTCCTCTTCTAATCACTGGGAGTTGGATGAGACACGTAGAGCCAACAAGATATATCTCAGCTATAAATGAAGGTGTAGTTCAGCTAATGTTGGTTTGGTTTTTTTTCTTTCTTGGTTTTAATGGCAACTTCACGTCATAATTAGGAGGATGAAATTCCTGCCAGCCAAGTACATAGTTTGGACAGATTAACGGGAAGAGGTATAAGAAATGGTAATTGCTTTGTGCTCATCAGACTTCTATTGAAAATCTGACAGGATAATTACAAAATACCTGCTTTGCAGAATGTCTAGGCAAATTTTTAAAGAGCTATTTAAAGTTGTTCGTTTACAATCTGTCTGAAAAGAAAAGTTTTTTCCCCCTTTTTGAAGTAGTTCATTACCATTTAGATGTGTGGTACATGTTCAAATATAGACCTTATTCTCATTTGCACGCCTGGCTGCATTCTGCTGCCTACTCCCAAAGAAAATTGCCCATAATTTTTTGCATTACCCCACATACTTCGCCCACGTACTCACCCTTAACTTTCAGCAGAACGTTATTTCACCTGAGAGAAACTGTAACCTTGTTGCTTTCAACAGTCTGAATCACATTCATAGATAAATTAATTGAGAAAGAAATGTTCCAGTGGACTACACAAAAGGCTCTGTTTTGACTGACAGTAAGAAGTTCTACTTTCAGCACGTTTTCATGTCTTATCACGTGGCTTTTCTTCACCTGCTTTTCAAACTTGAAAATGACACTCACCAAATTGCCAGTTTTCAAAGAATATTCTAGATGTCGATGCCAAAACCCTACTGATTTTGCTGAGTACTGAAAGACCTCGAAAGCCTGGCTTTCCAGTAAAGTTCACCATATGAGCTCATTTAGATCACAGGGCAGAAAAGCAACCGAATTGCTCTAGGCACCTGGTAGGCAGGGCTAGAGTTAGTGCAGGCTTTTTAGGGAAGGCTGAAGAGACCTTGGTGATTAGTGGACTTGCAACGGATGAAGTAGAGCCCACTAATACCAGTTGTTTAAGTTTCTGCAATTCAGTGTGAGTCATCCAGTATCATTATTATGCACATTTGAGCAGGGATGACCAATCTTCTAGTTGCTACAGCTGGATTTCCCTGTATGGAGGTACCGTAAGCAGTATTTCATGAACCCCTGACTTGTTGGATCGTGCAGCTCACAGAACAGCTAACCAGCACGTACAGTGAGTTTAGTGCTTTCCAGAGCTATCAGCAATTGCACATCAACTAAGTAGTTCATGTATCCACATGGTAAATCACTGTGTATTTTCTGCTCACCTTTCAGGAAGAAGTAATTGCAATTTGCAGTTGCTTTTCAAAATTCTCGTGTTTAGTCTCAGATGCCTTCAGACATGGCCAGTGAGTAGCCTGCAGACTGGCCAGCTGGTTCTGGCAACCAGGGCAGGCTTTGAGTAACCACCCTTCCCAGGGATGCCAAGACTGTTGTGAGACCACATGTACACCTTTCCTGTGACAGGGACGCCTGAAGTTGGTTATGTCAGGAAACAGGACATGCACACCCCAGAAAGGATGACCATAGATGAACTGCCTTGCTATAGGTAGCTGTAGTCAACTAACTAGCTGGTGTATTTTCATAATTTCCTGAAGTGATGATTTGGGCCCATAGCTATAGGGTTAATTATTGTAATATTTAAAGTTTACAGTTTGTATTTTTATATAAAGATAAAAGAATAAATTAAGTGCTGAGCATATAATCAATTCTATATCATATTCCTTGGTACATTGAATTACATGTTTCACAAGAAATGCACAGTTCCGATTCTACAACAGAGCATTTTTAAATAGAATTCTAATTTCTCTCTTGCTTCTTTTTCTTTGAACAGTTTATGAAGAACCAGAAGACCCCAGTAACAGATCATTTTTTTCAGAAATTATCTCTTCAGTGTCAGATGTCAAATTCAGTCACAGCGGTAGATACATGCTAACAAGAGATTACCTCACTGTTAAGGTTTGGGATCTGAACATGGAAACAAAGCCCGTAGAAACATACCAGGTAGGTATCTCCTCTGTCTTGAAATGCAACAATATAAAAGCGTCTCACTCTTCAAAAATGGAATGTTTTCCTAAGCTTCTCATTGCTTGGTCTGAGAAGCAGCTAGCTAAGAGAGCTGCTAATCAAAGTGCTTAAAATCCTCAGAGTGGCATCCTTGTAGTTGGAAAAGAGCAATTTCAGCATTAGTAAGGAAGCATGAGGCCTGGGGAATCAGGGTAACACTAACTGTGGATTGGGCTCTTGGAAGAAATGATGCTTCTAATAAGGGAAATCATCTCTTCACTTTCACATCTGTTTGCAGATGATGTATTTCACTACTGATGTTTAAAAGAAACTGAGGAAAGGATTTTGTGTGTTCCTTAGTGTTCTGCTTCTGCTGGGACTGCTGAGAGTTTACACCTTTGTCATTTCAGAACTTTTTTTTAAATTTCATCTACCCATTTCTCCCTTGTACATAGTTCTAGAAGCGATCAGTGCTAAACCCTGACATCACTGCTGACACAGCAGTTTGTGAATGCCAGACAGACACATCTGGTTGCCTGAATTCGTTGCTATATTATCCAGACAAAATGCCAGTGGCTTCAGCCAGCGCTGAGTTTGTACTCTGACATCTGTTCTGTTTGGCGATAGAGGGCTGAGCTTACATTTTTTGACTCTGCCTTGAAGAAGGAAAATATGTCTATGACACAGAAACTGCTTGTTATGAAAATGCAACGAGAAAAAACTGTTAAGCTACCTACAGAAGAGTATGCAAAGTAGGAAAAATGTCATTCATCTGGCTTGTACTGCTTACCTAAAGACAGTCCTGCGATAGTGCTGGAACAATCCCTTGTTTTCTGTGTCTATATAAAGGCAGGTGGGGTACAGTAGTTCACAGTAACTATAATTGAGATTGGTTTTAAAATAACATGTGATAAGAGTTTGGTAGCGTGTCTTGTTAAAACAACCAACATTTTACATCAATAATGTTGGAGGTATTTATTAGCTAGTGTTTAGTAGACAAAGTGGGCCCCACTGCCTCCATTACATTTCGGTGGATACTGTTTACTGTGTTAGTATTGGAAAGTCTGAGCCTGTGTGCCTTTAAGACTACAGAATTGGTTTTGCTCTGAAAATGGCAGTACTTGTAATGCTAAATGTGTTAGAAATGTTGATATGCTGTGAAAATGAAGTAGGAGGGTAAGGGCGAGACTGTGTTTTATATAACAGAATCGTATCTCAGATTTTGGGAACTTAGGTAATATATTATTTTATACTTATGCTAATGGAGTAGGTAACCTTGTCCCTGGAGAGGAATAGCTGGTCAAGCCAACCTGTTTGTCTTGACTTTGACATCTGCTTTTATTTCTTCATGTAGGTAGCTGTGAAACAAGCTGGTCACCTTTAAATCACTGTGACACCCAACACTGGGGCCAATTAAAAAGTTATATTTCTCCATGCTGAGATGGGAAAAATGAGTAAAATGTAAAATTTCCAGTACTGATTATTGTAATCAGAAGCTTACAAAAAGAAAATAAAAGACCTGCAACAACAAAACCCCTGCAAATATAACAGTGTTCTTGCTGCTGTACTTTAACCTATGGATTGCCTTTCATTTTCAAATATTTGTCCAGTGCCTTGTAGAGAGTATACAGATGCATTGCTGAGCGTTGAGGCGGACTAAAGGAGAATCTGGAACTCAGGGCCCTTAGGAAGCCAATAGCACAGGACTCCGTAGGATTCACATGGTCCAGCTGCTCTGGGCAACCTTTCACGTTTTTCAGCTGCAGAGAGTAGAGAATTCTGTTCTTAAGAAAGTGGTTTAAGTGACTCTCTTAAATAATTTGTCTTAGAGGTATCTTTCTCTTATATACCTAAATCTCATGTATAAACTTGGAAATCTCTCGAGAAGTTTTTTGCAGTGGATCACCCGAAGGCGACAAATAAACCTAACATTTTCAGTTATGTATTCACATAATTATGATGACATGTATATCATTAAAGGATTAAAAGATATTCATTAAAAGACTGAATTTTCAATTTCATCCACTGCATGGTAGCCACTTAGATATTGTCTAGCGGCAAGACTCATGAAGAGGATCGCAACAGGAGATTTCTCCACAGCGTTGTAAAAAAGAGCAAAGTCTGTAACTGTCCTGCTTCATTATCAGGTTACAATTTTAGTATCACAAAAAAAAAATTGAATTCGTCATGCAAGTTCTTTTTCTTATCAATGCTGTGGCTATAAGAATGCTATTGCATAGAGCAGCTGTTGCAGCCTTACTGAAACGTGTTATCTGCTGAGAATGATTCAACATGATTTTCTCCTGTTTATGCTTCATATAAAAGAAAAAAGGGCAGAGTATGGTGCACTGGACAGCACTAAAAGAGCAATGCAGTGGAATGGCCAGTGCTTGAACATTGCAAGGCAGCCCTGCTTAACAGGATGCTCTTCTGATGCTGCCAGGTGAATTACCCCAGCAAAACCATACCAGTAGTAACCAGAGGTGAACATGTTCATAGCTGATAATAGCTTGATCCATGTTTGGCAGGGTTTCTTGCACAGGGATTTGGACTAATGTGTCACTTACCAGTGCAATTCCTGATTGTGACTATTCAGTCCTAGTGAAATAGCTCCCTGCGTAGTCGTGTTGCTGTATTAGTCTGGAGCATGCAATTACTAGATAATTCCATGAAGGTCTGACCTAAAACAGTGCAGGGAAAAAAGCGAGAATGCATTCTGTAATTAGTTAGAAATTAATTTGGTTTGTATTCAAGTACTATTCATAGGTGATGAGAACAATATGTAACAGACAAGGCAAATCTGATTTGACCCTCAATCGGTAGTGGCAGATGAACATGCAAACAAGGTGAAAATTAAGTGTTTCTTCCAGTTAGTTTTTTGTAGTCACTCTGAGAGTCTGAATGTGTTCAAATGTGGTAATCAAAGGGTCCACATGAAGAGCAAGCCGGTTGTCCAAGGCAATAGTGCAAGTCTGCAGACAAGAAAAAGGAGCTGAGACCTTGAAGAAATCGGTAAAGAAATCTGAGAGAGGAACTGCAAAATGTTTTTTGACAGAGCTGATAGAAAGGCACAGCTCCAAGCTGCGGAGTTGGACGCACTTCGCAGAGGGTGTATACATGACAGTGGTCATGACAGATGGCTGTTGGAAATGGTAACGAGAGGAAGACCTAGAAATGACAATCAATGAGTCAAATGCGATCTACTTCCCTCTCCTGACTTACCAAACCTTTCCATTTCTTCCAAGTGTTGGAAGCTCAAAAAGATGATAAAGGAAAGAACTCCAGTGCTGTGACAAGTCACACTGCTAACATAAAAAGGCTTTAAGTAAAGACAAAATGAAAGGATTTAATTACAGAGGGTGCAAGACACTGCGTCAGCACTAAGTGTTCTGACCTATTACTTGCCATGAGGGTAAATGCATTTAATTGTGCAATGTTTTATCTGCATCTACCATTTGCCTGTTATTTGCTGTATAAGACATTATCTGTTGATGTCCAGCTCAGTGTTCACTCATCTGTTAATGAAAATTGGTCCATAAGTAACATTTATAATCCTTAATAACCTTACATTACAAATATTCTTAGGATACTGTACAATTTGGCTATTGAAAATGGGTTAGTTTAAAGAAAATATAAGTAAAAGGTCATTGTCCCTCATCTGATCTTGATAGAAGTTATCTTACTAGAAGAAATGTGTACATCCTCAGGCCAGAGAAGGATGCTGAGCATCCACGAGCAGGAGCAGTATCCCTGGACTTGCAAGAACCAGTACCTCTGTATGCTGGAGCTAAATTATGCCCCTCAGCTATTGGGTTGGTATGTGTGTTCCAAGAGGCCATCTACACAACTTTTTTTTACAATTTCTACAACAGCTAGAAGAAAACATCAGGAGTGAAAATACATTAGTAAATTCGTCTAGGCAGGGATTTTCTAGCTCATTATTTCCTCGTGGAATGAAACCAATCATCCAGAAGGAAAACTAATCAAATTCAGCAAAGGATTGAAAGAGTTTGCATGAGATCTGTCTCTTTATGATAACCCTTGTTCAGCAGAGATGTGTGGCCCAGAGGAGAGGTCTTCTGCTGGTTAGCCCCATTTTTCAAGGATGTAAGTGAGAATTTACAATGTTGTTTTTAAGTCTTAGACAAATAGGAGATATCCTTGGGCTAAATCAGTGTTCTAATTTGCAGCCTGTGCAACTACAACCTTGTACTGTATTTGGCTTCTGAAATACCTTACCCAAATATATGTAATACCGTACACTACAGATTCTTTTAATAGAGCCAAGTTCTTTCTGCCACAAGTGAGAGTCCACGTATCTTGGAATATGACATTTTTTGTTACTATTTAAATTAGATTTCTTGCACATTAATTAGCACAACTAGGGTATCAGCTGGTGAAATGTCTTTGGGAATTAGGCTAGCACTGAGAAAATCACCCAAGCAGGAAACAAATATGTTGAAGAGGGGTGGTCTGCAGCCTGCTGAGGGAGGTATGCTTCATGCCTTCCTGCAACAATCATTCTGTAGTGCCTGGTTAATTGGGCTGTGGAAAAGTACAGATAGCTTCTTTAGAGTTTAAACACAGTATCTTCTGCAAAGCTACCAATCTGTGCAGCATATTTTGAAAGTGGATGTGGGAGATAAAGCAGAGAGTGGGAGGCTGGTTGTGAGTTTTATATTTTGTTTTATTTCAAGAATAACAACAGTTATTTTCTTTGAAACAGGTCCATGATTACCTTAGGAGCAAGTTGTGTTCCCTCTATGAAAATGATTGCATCTTTGACAAGTTTGAATGTGCATGGAATGGATCAGACAGGTAATCCATCCTTATGTCCATCACTGTCTTCATTTAGCAAAAGAGCTCCAATATGATGGGGGACAATCAGAAAGTCAAGTGTTATACATGGTTATTTTCCACATCGATGTACATCTTGACATACCAGTGTTCAGGCTGATAAAAGGTGTTTGAATATTGGTGCAGTTGTGTCTCTGACCTCCTTAGACATGATGTATACCTTGTTAATCTTGGCTCATGCCTTAGGGGGAAAAACCTTCAAATTCTGTCCTTTTTCACTAAAATCGTAAGTAGGCTGCAAAAGTTAAAAAGAATGCTGCCAAGTCATACAGCCCCACCAACACACTAAGGAAGCTTGTGTGATCCTGTATTTACACATGAGCTGCCTCAGAAATTCAGTTCATTTACTGGAAACAGGGAGCAAGGAAAGGCAGTCACAGGCACCCACTGATTCTCTGCAAACTGCTGCCAAATGACAGTTTCTTCTGATACCTACCTCCATCAGAGCAGTCTATGTGCAGTCCCTATGCACTGAAGGAGAGGACCTTGTTTTTCTCTTGGACATAATATCTTGTTGAGTATTTGAATGATAAATATTGGCACAAGTCAGAGAGTGTGAGTGAGGATGCAGTGTTCTAATGTCATAATGTTAGCAAATGGTCGCAGTACTTTGTGGAGAAGGAATATTGTACAGGAAGAACTGAGCAGCCGAGAGGAATGGGATAATAAAAATATATGAAACCCAAGAATTTACTGCAAGGTGAGGATTTTAGTTAAAAGAAAACACAAACCTTCATCTTATCCTTTGGAAACAACTCACAGGGACATTCATATGCTAGGTGACTGTGGCAGGGACTAGCAGTCTACAAAATGCATGTGAAAGAGAGCACAGGAGCCAATTTTGGATGGCACACTGTGACTCCTGGCTTAGCAGAGCTGGGAGCCAAGAGGCAAAAGTTTGGCACTCGCCGAGAACCTGGAACTGTGCCTTCAGCTCACTTAGCCTCTCATTTGGGAAAAACAGTCCGTCTCATTGTATTTGAAGCAGGCCTGCCCCCCTGGACTGGGCAAGGACTATGAAACAGAGTGTGGGGCAGCTGTGAAAAAGGCAAATATGATCCTTGAATGGGCAAGAACTGGGATATCCAGCAGAGAAAGGAGCACTAGTGACATTGTGTTAGGGTCTTATTCAAAGGCCTTTGGACTGCCATTATACATTTCTTGTCCCTCATCTCCAAGGTGGATGAACTAATCAGGCAAATGGACAGCTGCTCTAAAGTAAGGAGAGGGCAGGAGTTTGGTTTTGATCAGCTTAGCAAAAGAGAAGCCAAGATTATACTTGCTTCTAGGGAAGAAGAGGATCTAGCTAAGATAAATGTGAATGATAATGACACAACAGCAAATAGGTATTGAGTGACAACAGGTAATTATAACCTGGAAATTAAAGGTAGTTCATACCTGTCCAGACAGTGACAGTGTGGAGCAGTCTTCCTGTCCTGAGTAGCGGAGGTGTAAGAAGCCCAACTGTTTTGATGATTGTGGTCAGGAAATTTGTGAAAGCAGTTATGTGAGACATTGGTTAAAATGACAAGCATCTGAACTTGGAAATGCAGAACAAGGTCTCTTCCAGTCTGGTGTTCCACAAATGCAGACAACGTGTAATGCTGTACACTGTGCAAGGGGCATCTTCTCTTTGGACTGCTTGTCTTTGCTCAGTTCCTGTACCTGCCCAATGGAGAGATTCTGTCTTTACTAAGAAATAAAACTTTTACCTTGTATCATTTATTATGCAAACAAAATTATATACTTCCATTATCTCTGTTGTCTGCATGCCATGTTTTAGGGTAACATGTTTTCTGACAAGGATTAACTCAGCATTGAGTATCCCCTGTGATACATACTGGTGGCCATTTAAAATGGCATAGATGGACCACACTGGGCAAAATACTTCCCAGATTGCTATGACTGCAACTTGGGCACCAGCTGCTGTGGAAATGGCTTTGATATAGTCAGAAAGTAGGAATGACCCACAGAAGTTTTAGGGGAAGATCCGAGTTTTGGGGCTTTTCTCTGAACCTCCCACACCCATGCATGAACGGATGTTTTAGCAGAGGATTGTCTCAGTAGACTGGTTACTGCTTGAGTTTAGTCCTACAAGAAATACCAAAATTAAAACATTTCTTGAAAATATGAACAGTGCTGATCCCTGCCTAAATCTGACACAGAAGAACAACACAATCAAATAATTTAGATATTTTGAAACTTTGACAAAGATTCAGGGCTTTTCAGGTCATTTCAAACCGTTTTGCTTATCCTTGATGGGAATTCCCAGTGTGTTGTACAGGATGGACAGCTACTTGTTCCCAGGCCCAGAGCCTTTCTCCTGTAGTCAAATGAAGTGCTGCTGTCCTCATTAGTGTGGTAGGACTGCTCTCTGGGTAGTTGCCTAGTAATAATAGAAATATTCAATATCAGGATTTAAAGTGAGCATAATATTTTCGTTCCTAATTGAGAGATGGATCATAATTTAAATTATATTTGGGTACCAGTAACTCTTAAAGAACAGTTTATTTGAATAGTAAGGTCACTTAATTTGATCCTTTTGGTCTGTTTTTTTTAAAAAAGACTACTGCTAAAAGCAAGCAATTAACCTATTAAGAATGGTACTCTTAAGAGATGCTGCAGCACAGTATTTATGTTATTCATACATATACTTAACAGTAGTAACTGGAGTTCTAAAGGTGTTATTTTTGTCTTTTGCAGAGCTTTTTCTTTTAAAGCTACAATGACAATTTAAATTGACAGGATTGTTCAGTTAAAAATGAAAGCATGTTTATTATTTTGGGTGAAAATACTTTGTATTCATTTTTGTCATTACTAAGGAGTTAATCTAGGCTACGACAGAACCTGATAGTGAGGCTGTTTACAAAAAAAATCAATGTACGTGAGCTCTGATTAGAACGTGATTGATGCTCAGTTACTCCAATGAACAGGAACTAATACAATCAGACAGAGCCGATCTCATTTGCTGAAGGGCACATTAATCACTATGTACTTTGGCAACAACAGTGGTCAGGGGAGGGAGTCAAGCAGGGGTCTTACACTAATTCAACCAGATGAGCACATATTATCTGTAGTTGAGTATATTACACTAAAATCATACCGCCTTTATTGTATATACATCATTACATGACTATGTAGAATATACAGCGATTTAATTTAGTTCTTCCATTCACTTCCAAAGTCAAGTCTTTTAATAATGACCCACAAGACACTATTTCCTTCCCACTGTCAACCAAACTCATTTTGTTATTTCAGTTTTACCTCAAAAATTAGCAATTTTGCAGCTGTTTGTGAATGAAAGAAGACAGTAAAAAAAAAATGTAGTAATTCTACATGGTAGTAAGTGAATACCTTAATTACTATTCATTTTTTTAAGATTTCAATGAATGGGTGTATGGGAACCCTTCCAGGGTGACTTCTGAATACCATCATGATAAGTGATATGCTGTAAGCAGATGAGTGAAGTCACATACAACTGTTCAGTCAGTCCTTTCCTACTGAACTGTCATTCATCCCAGTAATATCCGTCAGCCTTCACTCTGATCAGGCAGAATTGGCAGATCCCAGCAGATGAGATGTTAGCAGTCTATTCCTGTCTGGCAGCATGCTCCGTGCTGGAGAGCTAGAAGACATCATTTTATTCTCAGGGCTCAGCATGTCAACTATTGGCTTGGCAGGACTTGGGGATCCCCTGTTCTTATTCCCGGTCTTATGCCAGCCAGCTGTGTCGGAGTGCTACAAGCCTGAATCCAGTGTCTCAAGCTTTTCCATCAGCATACTCCCCAGAAGGTTTAAAGAAGTCCCTTCTTTGTGATGGGGAGTCAATTGCTTCATGCAGCGCAGCATAAAGGAAAATTCCCCAATATGCCAGCAGGCCTCCGCTGCTTGCAACACTGCTTCCTCCTTTCCCTTAGTTGCAATAAATCTCATTTTTCTTTCCTATGAAAAATGTTTTTGAAGAGTTTTCCTGGAACCAATCCTTTTGTCTCCTAAGGTCAACTTGTCACGAAACCAGATCTGGTGGACCTTGTGTGTCAATCCCAGGAGACTGCAGATGTGCTGTTCTGCACTGGTACACATGGTAGTGAAATCTTGGAAGTTTAGGGGCTCGAAATATAATTGGGGAAACAATTTCAGGTCAAAGTAATGGTCCCCTTTCATGCTGGTTGCCTTGAGGGACTCCTTTGCAGAGATTTACAAGTCTGGAGGCAGGCTCTGGTGGAGGCGGCTCTCTGAGTCTCCTCCCCTAACACCTGCTTGGATTCGATGGCCTGCCTCTCTTGCCCCAAAGAGTGATGTTCTGCTGCCACATTTGTGGTGAGGAGCAGGTTAGCTGGGTTGTTTTAATGTTTCTATCATCCTTAAGCCTGGTGTGTGCCAGTCCTTGAAGCCCTGCCCAGCGTTAGTCCTGTTACACCATCCCATGGCTTCCGTGGTCTCTTGAGCAACAGTGTAGGAGGGGAGCTACGACATGAACTGAATTTCTCCAGACAACAGAAATCTGCAGGTGAATAAAAATTTCTATGCATCTAGGAAGACTAATCTGGGCCAGAGTTAGCCCAAAAATTATTATAGAAGTGTCTTTAAAAAAAAAAAACAACAACAATGAAACCAACACGAAACAAAGTGAAGTGAGTATGGTTTGGTTTTTAAGCAAGCCTTCAATTCCAGCTGATTTCCCCAGAGCTTCAGGGCAAACCCTGACACCCAGGAAGGCAGCTGAATGAAGCAGTTTTGATGAAAACTGTTGCATGCAAGGATGGCCGCAACATGGATGATGTTTAAGAGCTTGGCTTGCAATAAAGAAATCTGAACGAAGTATGGGAATAACAAGTATGAGAAAGACAGAGATATGCCACAACCTGCACTCCCAAATTCCTACCAGATTCAAGAGCACAGGAACCAGTCATTTGTATGTGATGAGAGATGAGACACACCTCCCCCCCAGCTCATTTCTCCAGCTTTCAGCCCGAAGGAGAAGGCAAGGATGGAAGCCCAAAACCTTTGAGGGCTGAGCAAGTTGTCTGTGAGAGTAAGCAAGACTGGAGGTAGTGGGAGATCACAAAGAAAGGGTGAGCAGTGAGACCTCCAAAAGTAGAATGAAGAGATGAGAGAGGGGAAGAAGGAACAGAGAAAGGGAAATAACAAAGTGAAGCAAAAGAGACAGGATGGAACGGGGAACAGAGGATGAAGCTAAGGAGGATACTTCACTGGTGGGAGAGAGAAGCACATAAGGTGTTTTTTTAAAAATTATAGAGAAGGATAGAGGGAAATGGAAAAAGGGGAGGGGAGAAGGAAGAGAGGGGGAAAGGAAACCCTACCTGGAAAGTGTGGTAAAGACTAGAGTCAGAATTAGAGGGGAAGAAAGAGGAAAAAAGAACAGAATGGCGACTAAGGAGGGAGTGAGAAGAAAAGTCAGTTAGTAAAACTAGGATTGGTCTGCACTGGGGTTTCCTCCTTCCCTTTTTAGTTTCTGTAAGAATAAATTTGTCCTGCTTGTAAAGAAAAAAAAAAAAGTATAAGACTTTGGGCCATAGTGACCCCGCATGAGGAGTGAAGTTTGGCATGAGATGCCTCAGGCTGCATCATTGATAAGCAAGAATGCCCCAGTGTCAGTGGAGGCTGGACAAACTAGTAGCATTTTGTGTTGTCTCTCAAAACACGCATACCTGAAGAATTGCCAGAAACCCTCAGACCTTGCTTGGAGCAGCTGTAAAAGAGGGAGCAGAGAGTGCTCCGTGTGCTCTGCAGAGCAGCACCGTGCGGAGAGGAAAACGTGTTCCCTGGTGGGGCAGTGCAGGATGTGGGGCTGTCCGAATGCCCTTGGGGTCCTGCAGATACAGGGTCTCGCCTCTCCTTCCAGCGCACCAGCTGGGCTGCTGATGCGGGAAATGTAGGTAGTGGTAGCCATGTTGCTGCCATTAGGGTTTTTTCCAGCTTTTTTGCTTTTTTTTCCTTTTAAAAATTACTTTTTTTTTTTTAATCCTGCTGCCTGTAGCTGTGGTGGTTTGAGCTGGGTACAGTCTATCAGCAGCTTTGCTCCAACCTGTGCTGTCAGTACGCTGCTCCTCACGGTGCACTGGAGTGTGTTCTGTGTCCTAAACACCCGTGCGTGGCTGACATGATGGTACCTCTGACCATGTGTAGCACAATTTATAAACATGCTTTCTAAATAAAATTGAAGGTGGTTCCAAATAAAATTGAAGATGGTTAGGCAGAGCTTTTCTGGGCTGCTCCCTTACAGACCTATGAATTAGTGTGGGGTGTTTTGGGTGAGGGGCTTTGTTTGGTTTCTTGAAGCAGCCTCACTTGCCAGGGTTTTGTGCAAGCACTCATCATAACACTGCTGTGCAGAGCAGAGTCTGGAAATACAGAACAGACTCTTCCTATACTCAGCTACCATTTTTATTCTTCTCTCTCTCTCTCTCAAAATTCTCTTTATTGCATACATTCCATTATTGTACATTATATTTTCCTGAACAGGAATAAATTGCAGGTCTTACATCTAGTTCTCACTCTCTTTTATTGTTATTTTAAGCAGCAGGTAAGGTTATAATCCATCTGTGTTTGTGACCTTGAACAAGAATGGGCACTTTCTCATTTACATAATGCTATTTTTTACTGAACCATTAAACTTCAGAAAAACAGGGCCAGCATGAGAAGTAGTCAACTACATATGTTAAAAAAAATAACTGCAGTAAATCCAACTGAAGAAAGCAGACTTTTAAAAATATGCGAGAGTTCAAGAAGTTAAAAAGCAAATGGACTATAAAGACAGTTTTACTGCAAGCAAAACCTCCTAAAATAAGATTCTTGACAAACAGCACTCTGCATTTGGCGCACGGGTGCTCTGCCTGCATGAAAACTGCTCCCCTGACAGTTCCTGCCTTCATCAGGAGGGATGCTCCTCATTCCCTGGGGAACCACAGCTCTGCAGCCCATGGCACGAGGTGCCCCAGTGTTATGAACTGGTTTCAAAATTTTGCCTGGGGGGCAAAAACCACAGTACTGTGCTGGGCTGTTTGCATCACACATTGTGTATGTTAGTGCTGAGATTCGAAATAACCTCGATTTTTTCATGTTGTGAATAACCATTACAGCAGGAGCCGTAATGACAAGACATGGTGATTTGGAAGGAGTGAAACATTAGATTTACTGCTGTTGATTCAATTTCTGAAATGGGCACTAATCTTGATCAATAGGCTTTCTGCAGCTTCTGGGATATGTTTTATCAAGCTGTCACGCTGACTTTTTTTTTTTTTTTTAGCATGTGAGATTGTTAACTTGTGCCTTACTAAACAGGATTATGCCAGTCCTTTGTGGGTGGGGAAGGTAAGGGAAACCTCAATGCAGACAACCCAAGGGTGGGCACCACTTCTGGAGAGCAGCGAGGCAGCTCCCTGCCAGGGCTGGCTGCAGCTCCCTGTGGCCAAGTGCCTCTCTTGCCCATCCCCAAAGTCAGGAGCCGAGCAGCGGTGCAGCCAGCGGCGTGCTGCCTGCAGACCTCAGGAAAGCCGCCTCTGGAGAGGGGGAAGGCTGTAGGTGAGCTGTTGCTGAGGACAGTGCATGCTGCGTCTCTGTGCTACGCCTCTCTGATTTGCAGCAGTTTCCTTTCGCACTTCAGGAGCTGCAAAAAAAGCTCAGTGTGGAATCAGCTGTCATCAAACTCCAGTATGCCATCAGCAAACATGGAAGCAGGATGGAGCTGGCAGTCTTGCTAGTGATTCACAGCGTACAAATCCAGCTCACCCCCTCTGGTTACCCTACGGTGGCTCTGAAGCGAGTGGAGTTGCTGTGAGTCAGTAGCTGTAGTGCAAAAGCAGTTAGCTGCACAGCTCCCATTTGTGCATTTTTCAGTATATTACTCATTTGTATTACAGTAGCTCCTAATGGCCCCAAATGAGATCATGGCAGCCCTGGCTGGAGGCTATGCACATAGTGTAAGACAGCTCCTGAATCCAGGAGCATCTAATCTAATCAGCTAGTGTGCATCTGTACAGCGGAGAGTATAGTTTATGCCTTTGAATTCTCCCACGGTTGCATATGCCGTGGTTTCCTGGCCGATATGCTGCTCGATGCAGATTCCCCCCAAGTGGGAAACAACAGCAAAGTGCTAAAGCAACTGTCATTTGAGATGGAAGTTAGTTTATTAAATGCAAAGCACATGAAATACTCTCTGTTGGGCTGTACTAGAAAGGCAAATAGTTCCTGATTGCCTGAGTCTTAGTGCTGTACAGGTTTTCCTGGGGACATCTGACCATTTGGGGTGGATTCCCCCTTCCAGAATGCAAACTCAGAAAAAACACCGTTTGGGGCTGAGAGAGGAGAGTAGAGCATGGCCCTGGCTTCGCATATGGAAAAAGTTCACAGGGGATGAGCTTTCGAATGGGGCTCTGAAACTTGTGATTATGCTAATCCAATAACCCGAGGGCCATGGATGAAATCCTGAATTCATTAAAGTTAGTGACAAAATATCCTCCCCTAGGGACTGGGGGAATGAGGCAACTGGCAATCCATTATTTCAAACTACAAGCTGATTAATGGGGTAGTTTTTATACAGCTCAAGGTATATTTTCTGTCCCTTTCTCCCAGACCCAGAAATATATCCTGACTTGAAGCTTCATTCAAACTTCATACAAGAGATGACAGAATCCTGTTTATCAATGTGTTTATTTCTAAGAAGCATTGTAGCTACAAATTTTAATGGTGTCTGGACTTGCAAGGTCTATGGCTTCAGAGGGGAAAAGGTTTGATTCTGGAAATAATTTACTTGTGCAAACAGTGTGATTTTTCAGGACCTTTCAAAACACCTTTCTTCAAAATACTCATTAAAATACGTAATTATTTACTCAGTCTTAACTATTGTATCAGAAGGTTTGAACTACTTGGCATTATTTTTTTAAAAAAAGACTGTTTCTGGAATCATAGTAAATCTCAGCTGTCAGAAAAGGTAAAGCTCTGGAGAAAGAAAAAAGCCTGAAATATATGATCCGTAAATGCTCATAAAAAGCTGGAGGGTAATTGAAAATAACTTATTAAAACATATTACTTTTATTGTCTTGTGGAGTCAATCTCATGATGTCGGGGTCCTGACATTTGTGCATGCTTCAGGATGCGAGTTTTGAGGTAACTGTAATTTTCATTGAATACTCTAATAGGGAAGGGGAAGACATTGGTAGAAGAAAACTATTCACTTTGGGGAGTACTGGGAAAAATCCTGTTTTATATTCTTTCCTAGCTGAAACCAGAAGACATCTTATCCTAAGGTTAAAGCTCAGCTGCCCTAATCCAGTCATGTTAGTAGACTTCCCGCAAGCTGCTGCTTAACTCTCTTTGGTTTTGCTCTCTTTCTTTCTCTCTACAGTGTGATAATGACAGGTGCATATAACAACTTTTTTCGAATGTTTGACCGAAATACCAAACGGGATGTTACCTTGGAGGCATCCCGAGAGAGCAGTAAACCACGAGCTATTCTTAAGCCCCGGAGAGTCTGCGTTGGAGGCAAACGGAGGAAAGATGACATCAGTGTTGACAGTTTGGACTTTACTAAGAAGATCTTGCACACAGCGTGGCACCCAACTGAGAACATCATTGCTATAGCAGCGACAAACAATCTGTACATATTTCAGGATAAAGTGAACTCAGAAATGCACTAGATTTATCAATATCCCTCTATATTTACAAACCAGCCTCTTGAGAGTTGTAGAAGGATGTGATCTTCACAAAAATTGTGGCTTCTGTGGTGGGATTTGTAGGTTGCATCCTTTCATCCCTCAGCCTGTATCATTATTGGTGGCAAGCCAACTATTTTCCATCACTGCAACTGTATGAGTAAAAGGCACGACTGCAAATCCAGTACTGTGGTCTGTATTGGTTCCTTTAAACAAACAGGGGTATTTATTCACCTTGGGAGCATTCCTGAGGAGGGCTGAGACTCCTCAACTCTCGTCAGTCCTTTCGAGGGTCTCTGTGGTTCACAGGACCATGCTGTTCTGGTGCCCTGCCTGCTTTTGCAGTCCACAACATTTACCACATTGTTAGAGCTTTTTGCCTCAATCTCTTGATTATTTTTTTTTCAGTAACATTTTCCTGACTTTCAACTAAGCCAAGCCTGTTTCAGTGAATGAATAGCCACATCCCTTTAGAGCACGTGGCACGTTGGAGGGGCCTCATGACAATTATAGCTGGAAACAGAATCCCTCCTGGTGAAAAGCTGCCCTGTCTCAGCCGTCCCATTCCCTTCTTTACAACACCCTCTTACTTATTTATTTGCATTACTTTGTGCTTCAGCTTCCCGAGTGAATAAGTGACAAACTGGTGTAGTTACTCAGCCAGCTTATTTTAAGAAGTTTATTCACCATAGATCTCTTTGCTTTGTTTAAAACAATAACTAACTAGTATCTTCATCACGTGGAGGACTATTAAAAAACTTGGTATTGCCACTCCAGGGGGACTGGGTGGTCGGACACAGCCTGGCAGTTAACACACAAACCCGTCTTACTGTTTGGGGGTTGGAGTTCTGGAAACCTTGGCTAGAAGTGCTGTCCTTGAAGGCAAGGATCGACTTCGGTGGGAACAAAGTTACAGCACTGCTAGACACTTCAGAAAGTCCCTCGTTTGTTGATTGCAGCATGGTTATTTTAATCCTGGCCTTTGGGGCATACAGGCAATGCCATGGTGTCTGTAACTGTAAAAGGAACGGTACTGCGAGATGCAGCACTGCTCAGTGGATTTTAACGCTTTTAAAAGAGTCCACTGTTGGGAGACAAAATTGTTCCTGGAGAAATATGAAAAATCAAAAAATCCAAACAAAACCTTCTTCCACATAAATACTGTTAGATCTAGCTCTGTTTTAAAATGAATAGTGATGTAAATGGAAAAGGAAAGTACACGCGATCGGTGTAGTGCATGCAGGAATTATACGGGAACGGTGCAGGGGGCAGGGAGTCCTCTTAATCCAGGAAAAGAAGGTTTTGCTGCATCCCTAATAGCTCTGGCAGAAAAATTAATATCCCAAAGGATTTCTCCTCAAACCGTGAATAAAAGAGCACAACTCAGATGACCTGTTAATCTGCCCATATTAAAACTCCTCAGAAAAAAAAAGTCTTTAAGCCATTATGCACTGATTTCTTGGTAAGTGGAGAATGTACTGATGAAGGGATCTGCATGCTTTTATATTTTGGTTTGGGGAAAGGGTGGGTGAAAATCTGCTTACAAGAACTAAAAAAACAAAGTCTACAGCTTTTATACGACATTTTAACACAACACACGAAACCTGTATGTTTGAAGTTTTCTAGATCAACGCTGTATATTTCGTGTGTGGAAGCACAAACGCATGTGCATCAGTTTCCAGCCACACTAAACACATTTGGTAGGAAATGTGTAGGTTAATATTAAAGGGAATGAGGAATGTTTGTTTATAAAATACTGTACGCTGTAGCAGGCATGGACAGTACATGTATATATTTATTCTACTGAAATTAAAAAAATTGCTTTCCTTTTTTTTTTCCCCTTGTAAAAAGGTTTAAGAATGTGGTAAATTATATAGAAAACAAACTTGTTAATGCCAAACTACTGCTTCAAGGGTGTCATACAATTTTTTTGACTTTTGGCCTCCATTAATCTTTGCAGCTCAAAAAAAAAAAAATGCTATCAGCTCATATTGGCATTTATAGCTAGAAGTACTGTAAAACATATATTTAGCTTTTAACATTCTCAAGTAAGATTCTATAGATAACTTATTATAAAGCAGATCTTAATACAACAATTTTTTGTTTTTAATTTGAAGTACCTTACTCTGTTACAGCTTTGGGTACCAAAAAGAACATGTTGAAGTTAAATAAAGAAATATATCTTTGGAGCTTTATAAAACTAATGAAATAATAGCCAACCAAAATACCATGAAGTGATTATAGAGGAAATAAATAGAAACCTTTCAAAGACCAGTATTCCATTCCTGTCTTTGACATCACTACTACAGATCGGTTTCCTGGTTTCTTGAATGTACAGAAAGTTAACATCATCATTGTGAACGTTTCCAACTTTCTTTCTCTTTTTAGTTTGAGCTTTCAGTGGTGTAGAGTAAGTGATGGTAAAGTTGGTAAATCTGATTGTTTTGAAAGCTGTTGTTCATGGCTGCATTCTTTGTGTTGCACAAATTAGCTAACTGTTGTTGAATAAAAATATAAATATGTTAATACCAGCTTTTTCAATAAAACTACAACCAAAAAGGCATAAATAGATGACTTCAAGGCACAGCTTATTTTTAAGCTAGACATGAAAGAGCTGTTTTGCTCTTTTTACAAAGGAGGAAGAGTCGCAGAGATCGGGACTTACAGGGCAAGCTCCTATGTGAAGAGCCTGAAGTGTTGTGGCAGGTAGAGACGTAAACACGGTGCCGTGAATGGGCCCGACTTGGGGGTTTAGCGTGATGGAGCGTGTGCGCGACAGTTACAGCAGAGCTGGAGTTACACGTTTGGTTCACGCCTTGGACCAGCTTTTTTCTCTGCTCGTAGCCCAAGATAGACTTTAGGAGATTTGAGTTTCAGTCTCCTACAGATGGAATAAGAGACACACACAATGTGAAGGGACATACAAAATCACAGGGTAAAAAACGGCGTTAGTGTCATCACCAGCCAGGTTGGAGACCTTCCAGCGCAGCGGACTGCGAGGGCACGTCTGGGATGTGTCCAGGCCTGGCTTCCCAAATGAGACAGACGTTGGCCCAGGTGACAAACCAGAGGGCTAACAGCAGAGCAGCATCCCTCTTCCCTGCCCCATCGCCACTGTCTTTCTACCTCTACCCCAGGGAAAAATTAAAAAGGAAAAAGAAGAAAAAACCAAAAGCTGGCTTGGCATACACACTTAAAGCTAGGAAAACGTTCATTTCCAGTCCAAACTGATGCCTGACCCTCCCCGGTATCGTGATGCCTGCCCCAGATCTTGGGCTTTTCTTTTGAATCTCAGTCTACGGCAGCTAACCCTGCCTGCATGTTCTACACAGAGCCCCGGGGTGTGAGAAACCGCCTGGCCATCAGCACACATGGGTTGTTAGACACTGAAAGGCTAAATCCTTTTTCTGGATACAGACCAGAATAAATTTGCCTCAGCTGTTAGATTAGGCAGTGTGTTGCTTTGCACAGCTCTCCCAGAGCTTACATGCTAATTTTTTTTCCCCCCTTTTTGGAAAGGCACAGTCAATCCCACTCATTTAGATGGACAAATATGACTAGGCACTGAAGAGAGAAATCTCAGCTGAAAATCAACACATCAAGCAGTACACTATTTACCTTTCCAGTTTCCCTTTTCATCCCTAAATACCCAGTAGGAGCAGGAGCCAGATGGCTAACTCTCATGCTTTGGAAATTTTCACACGCATACTTAGTAGCTGCATACGGCAATTTAACCCTTTATGGTTTGGGAGGAGATACTGCTGTGAGCCACCTGCTTCTGCTGCTTGCAGCCAGCAAGTCATCTTGCTTTTAGGCAGAGTTAAGTCTTTTGGAGACTTCCAAGGCTGTGGTTATTAATCCTTGATGAGAGGGCAAGTATAAGGATTGTTTGCCTTCTATGTCCAATTTTCAGTAACATTATTATCATCAATTTTCTCCCACTCCCAATAATAATCCTTTTCCATTTGCAGTCTTCTCAGCAAATTGCATTATGTCTAAAATTAGAGCATGAATTCACTTATCTTGCTCATGTGGTAGAACTCAGAACACAACAGGATCACTGGAGTGGGTGAGATTCAGAAACTTGGGCCTAATTTTATAAGATGCTTGAGACAGGGTATGTTTCTTTGGTTTCATGAAGCCATGAAACAATCTGGATATTCTGTACAGGACAGTTTGCCAGGCATACTGGAAACGTTTGCTTTCAGAGTGCACCATGAGAAAGTTTTCTTAGAAGTGAATATTATTTTTCCTTCTTGCTGAAGTTGGACAAGGATCAAACTTTTATTCACGTGAAAGTGAGCACAACTCTAGGCAGTTAGAAATCCTAAATCTGGCCCATGATGCAAAGCATTTCACGTGAAGTACCTGACTGAGCAAACTCCTCAGTTCCCTCAGCTGTAATTGCTGCCATGAATATGGATCAGCCAGACAAGGTACAGCTAATTACTTGTCTTGCCATTTGCCAAGTGGAGACAGTCAACGAGTAGGACAAGATCCTGAAACTTTCAATTCCATTAAACAATTATTTTAATTATCATGGTGACGCTATATATTCTTTTTATAACATGGCTTCTAAAATGAATAAAACCTACAATAGTGACTCTATCAAAGGATGCAGAGTGCTTTCCTGGACAGCCACTCCTTGTTTTAAAACTAGTATTAATCATACTAGTAGCATGTGCATACCTCAAGAGGCCGCCTGATCCAAGATATCGCAACAGATTCCCAAGCAGATTAACTTCAAATACAGGACCAAATTATTCAACTGGAAATAAACTGACACTGCTCCAGAGAAGAGTACTTAGCTCGGAGAACTCCAGAAACACCACCACCACCTTTCTCCAAGAGGAGGAACAACTCTGGGGAAAAATTCACTGTAAATGATAAACAGTAAGTAATTGAAACTGGAATTAGGGCGTCAGATTGGGAGCAAGGAGGTTGGTATTTTTCCATGCTCCACCTATAAAATCAATGCTGCCCAAGCAGGACACCAGAGCGAGACCCCACTGTCAATGACTTGTGCCAACGTCCCAGACCCAGCAGGCCCGCGCTTTCATTTGTCCTCGGCGAGGTCTGAACACCCTCGACAGCTCTGTGGGTGCCCTGGGCCAGGCTCCTTCTCACTTTAGTGGGAAGATGCAGAAGGAAGCAGAGGTTTCCCTCAGATAGGAGAGATGAGAG